GGCAGAGGGAATGGAAGGAAGGAAAGAAGGAGGCAGGAAGGAAGGAAAAGAAGGGATGGAAGGAAGGGAATGGGAGGAAGGAAGGATGGAAGGAAGGAAGGTAAAGAGAGGGGAAGGAAGGAAGGAAGGTAAAGAGAGGGGAAGGAAGGAAGGAAGGATGGAAGGAAGGAAGGTAAAGAGGGGAAGGAAGGAAGGAAGGAAGGAAGGAAGGAAGGAAGGAAGGAAAACCCCCACATGTCAGTTGGTTGCACCTTGACTAGTTGAAAGCTAGGAAGCTCCAGCCTCAGCGCAGCCTGGAAACACACCTTTGGGCCCAACGCCCAACTCACAAGAACCTTGAAAAGGTTCCTCCCATTTGGAGCCGGCCTGGGCCCTGGGAAGCCAGCCCGAAATTTTTCTTTTCCCTCCCTTGCCTTGCACTGGGCTTGAGTCTGCCACTATATACCCATCGAACAGAGAGCACCTGCCAAGGTTTTTTTCCCCCCAGGTGTGAAGACAACGCAGGGCCCCCCCGAGAGCCCTCTGGCAGTTGTTGATGCTGGTTGGAACCTGGGAAATCGGTCCATGGTTGCTTAGCAAAAGGAGCCAGGTCCCTAAGCAGAATCTGATTTTGACATTTAAGCCTTGGAGAAAACAAGCGCTTTATAATCCGATGCGCTGCCTCTTCGGTTCCCGTCGGCTGCTTGGTTAACAAACTGCTTTTCCAAGTGCCCCTTTTCAAGAAGTTGGAACATTTCCCCGTTTGTGCAAGATCTGGGCTTATTCTGTAGCCGAGGGACGTTTTCTTCCCGCAGGAGTGACTTCCAGACAATAAAAAAAAAGCCCAACCCGGCGAGAAGTTCTTTTTTTTTTTTTTTCCTCACTGCAACCAGAAAACCTCTCCTTGTATTCTGAATTTCATGGGGTGCTAGGAATGGAGCTAAGAATGGACTGGAGCTGAGAAAATAACCTGGAGGCATGTTAAGTGGAGGGAAATTATATCCTTTTTCCACTCTTGAGTTCTTAGGTTGCAGCGGTATCTTCTCCGGAGAGTATTTTATTGGGAACTAGCTCAATGCCCATGCTTCGCTAATGAAACGATGTGATCGGGCTCAGAAAATAATGGGTGGGGGAATTGTGCCTCTGCCTACCAGCATCCGTCGGTATTCATCTGGCTAGTGTCTGGTCAGTGTGCGAGAGAGTGGAGGGCTGTTTGGAAACTGAAGCAGTATTTGCTGTGTGAGCAAGGAGACAGCAAGGAGCCTGGGAGTGGCTTAGCTCAACTATTCTGTACTAATGCTGCTTGGTGCTCTGAAAATGAATCTCCTCTGCTTGTTTGTTTTGCATTTGGAAGAGATTTCTTTTCAGGTGGGGAAGGGGAGTAGAACTCTTTGGCATCAGAGTGTGTTAATAGTAATAATAATATAGGAAATACTCTAAATGCTCTGATGGTCATTTCGAAAAACCCTTTCTTAGTGAGCCTCTAGAAGCCAAGAGGAAGATATGTGCCAAATTTCAAGCTTGTAGGCTTTACGGTTCTGGAGATTTTGTGATGATGCGTGGGAGGGTCTTTGGCTTTTATAGATATAGATAGAAACGGGGATCTTTTACGTTCTCTCTTAAGGCTGACATAGCTGCTTTAATGGGTCCATACATTCTAAACCAAGCCCCATACGCTGAATTTTAAGAGGGAGGTAGGATTGTTTTGGAGTAAGGAGAGTTACATCAAGCAAATCTCCCTTTAAAATCCAAAATTAGGAAGTGTGAAAGGAATAATAGAACCACAGAGTTGGAAGGGACCTTGTAGGTCATCTAGTCCGACCCTCTCCACCCAAGCAGGAGGCCCTACACCGTTTCTGACAGGTGGCAGTCCAGTCTCTTCTTAAAAACCTCCAGTGATGAAGCACCCACCATTTCTGGTGGCAAGTAGTTCCACTGGTTAATTGTCCTCACTGATAGGAAGTTTCTCCTCAATTCCAGGTTGCTTCTCTCCTTGATTAATTTCCAACATTTCTTGTCCTGCCTTCTGGTGCTTTGCGGAATAATTTGACCCCCTCTTCTTTGTGGCAGCCCCTCAAATACTGGAAGACTGCTAACATGTGACGCTTAGTCCTTCTTTTCTCTAGACTAGCCATACCCAATTCCTGCAACCGTTCGTTCATGTTTTCTTGGAGTACCAATCAGCATCTGGCAGGACACCAGAAGTCTTTATCCACCACCAATATTTTCTGATTTTATTTCAGGGATCAGGGGCATTCAAGGAGTAGCAAGATCTCAACGAGTCTTGGCCTTTTGTACAATTTCTGCAGAAGAAAGTTTTTTTTCCCCTCGTAACATTAATGTGCAAATGTGCTTTTCTTATCTTTTCTTTTTTGTAGTTATCTTCCATGGTTTGAAGTCTTTTATAAACTGCTGAATATTCTGGCAGACTACACAGTGAAGGGCCAGGTAAATATTGGGGTCACACCTGTGTTTGTCTTGCTGTTTGTCTTGTGCATTTGAATTGGTGTGTGTATTTGAAAGAGGCCCAGTGTGTGTGTGTGTATGTCTTTAAAACTTTACCATTTGTCAACACCAGAGATGGCCCAAGCCATCTTTGATTCAGCTTTTGAAGACAATTCCAGATTATGTCACAAGTTTTGATAAAATTAAAAAAAACCTTGTTAAAGAAAGGAGGGAAATATTTCCATTGATTTCTTTCCCTAATTTCTCAGCAAGGACAAGTAATATTTGATTCTGTTTGTGGTTATTTTGATATCCCCTGTTAAATTATGTTTATAGTTGTTTGATAATATTATTGGACTACAGATAAAAATGAATAGGTAAAATTCATAACAAGGATAAGTGAAGATGAAGATGAACAGATATTGAGAGTAATCGTTATAACTATTGTATGTATAAGATTTATTATCGGTATGTAATTAAGAATGTAGAGATTGCACCCAGATGGTATACTGTGAAGAATAAAATCTTATACATAACCAAGAAAATTGTATAATAAAAAAGTATTAATATATGATGTATAACAAAGGAAAAGTACAATAAAAAATATTTGGAAAAAAAAAACTTTACCATTTGCCAACACCAGAGATGACCCAAGCTGTCTGATTCAGCTTTTGAAGACAATTCCAAATTCTTTCACAAGTTTTGATAAAATAAAAAAACCCATCCAATTGTTAAAGAAAGGAGGAAAATCTTTCCATTGATTTCTTTTCCTAATTTCCCAGTAAGGACAAGTAATATTTGATTCTATTTGTGGTTATTTTGATATCCCTTGTTAAATTATAGAGGTAATAATGGTTCACAGGCATTTCCAATTAGAATATGCTAAATAAGGAGACATGAGTAGGTTTCAGAAGTTATGTGAGAAATTATCAAATGTTTCTGAGTGGTTCATATGTATTAGGATTCAGACATTTTATGTCCAAGTTTAGTTAATCATTTAGGATCGTTCATTCTCCAGCAGATCTCAAGCCATTGGAAAGTATCTCTTGGTACTTCTGCTAGACAAGCTGTCCTAACATGGTTGGTCAGGTGCCTAACATTGTTACCTGGAAAATAGTCTGCCCCAATTGGGTGTCATCCGAACCAGTGAAGGTTCAACTCTCAGAATTTAATTGGGGTTGGAAATAACAGGAATGGAAGCATCAATTGGTCACCAGTGTGTGAAGAAGGGGCTTCTGAATGGATGCAGTCTCTGATTCTTGTGAGAATCCCACTTTGCAACTTCTGTCAGAAGAGATCCCACATTGGTCCTGCTTTGTTGCCTTGAATCAAGGATCTTCCAACTTGGCAAGTTTAAGACTTGTGGACTTCAACTCCCAAAATCCCTGAGCTAACATGACTGGAGGAGGAATTCTGGGAATTGAAGTCTGCAAGTCTTAAGGCTGTCAAATTTGAAGACCCCTGATCTATCTATCTATCTATCTATTTATCTATCTATTTATCTATCTATCTATCTATCTATCTATCTATCTATCTATCTATCTAT